CAGCAACAATAACAACAACAAACGACCCGCCAAACGAGGCGACGACCCATCGAGCTGCCCAACCTGTAACCAGTTCGCCACCTCGTCGCTCGTCGCTCGTCGCACGTCGCTCGGCTTTGGCGCTCGTCGCAGCCGATGCGAATTAAGTTTGGATTTGGGTTTGGGGTTTCGGGTTAGTCGCCAGCCCACTGAGCTGGGGCTCAGAGAGCACCGCCTACCTCGGGGCCGGGCAGCCGCCCGCCCTGACGCCCTACTTTGGCTGGCTGGCAAGGTTCGGCCTTGGCGCTCAACACTGACCCGCTTTTTCACTCGGTGTGTGTGTGCGCCTGTGTGTGTGTGTGTGAGTGTGGGCTTGTGTGTGTGTGGCATGTGCAGCTTATGGCGCATATTTCCCTGGCTCTCCGTCGCTTTCGGCTGTTGCATTTCAAATGCGTCGATTGCTGCGAGTTGCATTTCAAATTTCACAAAATTCAACAACAAAATTTTACGCTCAATTTGCGTTCCCGAAACACGCGGCGTATGCGCAACATTTAGTGTCGCTTGGGGCACAAATCATAAAATCCTTATGAATATTCAAATTCTTTAAATGCTGTTAAATCATAAAAAAAAAAGGAATTCCGATTCTGAAATGGCAATAAATATTGCAAGTTTGTTTTTGTTTGGGTTTGTTTTCACAAAGTTTTGCGAACAAACTTGGGAAGTTAGATTACCACAAACAAAATTTGGAGAAACTAAATTTTGGGTAAAATATTTTAAAAAAATTAAAAACAACTGGAATAGCAGACTAGGTGGGCTAGTAAAATGAATAAAAAAAGTTTCTTATATATTTTAGACTTTTGGCTTTTACTTGTTTTGATTTATGTATTTTATCGACGTTTAACAGATAAAGAAATTGATAATTATATATAAAAATAAAGAAACAAAGAAAAAAATAAGTAAATAATTTAAAAAATAAAAAGTTAATTAATTAATTAATAAATAGCCCAATTAAGAAATAGCTAAATAAATGAATCACGAATTAAATAAATAAATAAAATAAATCAACAAACACTTATGACATATTCAGATAAAAAGTTGAGCACAAATTTATTTGCCAAAAAATAATAACATGAATACACTTAATTTGGATATTGAGCAAAAGCATCAAGCATGAAAATGGGCTCAGTTTTGGCGAAGTTTCAGGCTTTAATTTTATGGGAAATGAAAAGTGGATTCCTACAATTACAATTACAATTAAAAAACTATGGAAAAATATATAATTTATTTCAAAAATTTAATAATATTCGAATGTAAAACTAATAAAAGGATCAAATTTTTAACACAATAGCTAACAATTGTCTAAGAAAGAAATTTTCAATTTCAAATTTTAGTTGCTTTTCATTTTTATCACGACAATTAAAAGACGTTTTTGCAATTAAATGTAGAATTATTCCTCCAAGCAAAAGCTGATTAAATTAACTAGCAAATCACTTAGAAACTGTGAAAAAAACGGTTTTAGTAAAATGTTCATTAATTTTATGATTTTTCATTACATTCATTGAAAAATATTTAAGTGTGGAATTAATAAAGAAACCAAATGCTGAACTAATTGCTTTCGAGACTTGCTTTCGATTGATTCCGTTTCTGTCCAGGTGAAGAAATAACGAATAGAAAATGGGTCAGCAAAATTGTTGAAATAACGAATAATTATGTGAAACTGAAGTTGAGGGCAATCGAATGAAATGATTATTGAGACTGAGATTCAAAGACAAACCGCATTTGCGATTGCGGTTGTCCACGAAATTTTTCTTTGATTTGTGGTCAGTTTGCATGGAGCGAAAGCCGCCCACACAAAGAAACCTTCAAGTGTGCAGACCCCCAACCCCCTCCCTCCATCAGCCTGCCCTGGCACATTCGCAGCATAGCCACGGGCCCGGCAGCTGGTCACTAACGCAGCTGATTCATCACGCATCAAAAGAGAAACTGCGGAGCAGCCAACGAGAATAATGAAATTAATTTGAGCTCTGGCCGCAGAGACAGCCAGAAAGCTGCCCTCCGGCCCAGCACCCCCCGTTGCGGTCGCATCTTGTGGGGCATTTCTCAGTTCCAGCGACGATTGCCATGCTCTGTTGCACGTTGTTCTCGCTGTTGTTGTTGTTGTTGTTGTTGCGGCAGGTCGCGAATTGCAGACACGGCGCATTGCCAGACAGTGACTCGCGCTGAGGCAGCGATTCAGACTCAGACTTGGGAGCCCGGGCATCATGGCGTGGCAGGTGCACACCCCAGGCTCCAAACTTTCCACGCTACCTCCACCCCCCTCCGCCCTGCCCTAACTCACCGAACACCACCCTCTGTGCAGGCGTCGCTGCTGGCAGCAAACGCATCGCTGCACAATCTCTAAGAGCAGCAGCGGGTTGAGGGGGCCGCCGTTGCCGGTCGCACTTAATGCGCCGTTACTTTTGTCTGCCGCCGGTCATGAGTTGGTCTAAAGCACAGCACTTGAACCATACTTGATATTTGCCAAAACTCGTCTAACGAAAATATTCTCCATTAACGGACAACTGCAATTTTGTAGCAGCGAATCGAACACACTCGAACAACAGAATGGAAGAAGAACTCAAACAAATCAAATATTGCAGCCAAGTAGAAATTTGCTGAGAATCTTTTGCAGGCTTCATTGCAGATATTCATTAATTTCTGTTGTACTCGAAGGTTCTGCTCAATCAAAAGCAGCATAAATATATATATAATTCCGACGTTATTCACTTTCTATTGTACTCGATTTAAACAGCAGCACGTTGATTTGGGATTCGTGAAAAAATTAAACATAAATAGATACTGCACCCATTTAAACTGGTAAAGTGTATATATAATGCTTAAAACAGAAAGAGGAAGTTATGTACGACATGCTCTTGATCAATAACAAAGGCTAAGTAGATCTGGGCATATCAGTAAGACCCATCTGTTTGCCTCTCAGAGACTCAATTTTGGAATCTGTCTTTTGTGAAATAACTTTCAAACATTGTCGATTACCTCTCGCATTGTCCATACCAAAGCATATCTCATAAAGTATATAAGCCAGGGACAACTCCTTTGGCATTTATGTACTTGTATAAATGCAAAGATCTTTAATACGTCAAGGAATACCCTAAACATGGAGATACCCATACCCATAGCCATAAAGAATAGATTTTCTTTAAGTGAACTAGGCTCATTTTTGGCACGTACACATATAAAACTATCATCTATGAGCCAAAGAAATATCACAATGAAAGTTAAACAAAAAGAAAAGTGATTTGGGAATGAATTTTTCATCGTTTAAAGTTGTGGGAAGAGGCGTTACGCTTTGGCGCTTAAATTAGGAACGATCATACAGGGTATATTTTATAGTCTGGCAACTCTTGTTCTTTGTCCAGGTGTGACCCTTATAGCCCTAATGTTCAACTGTAAAGTTTCAATTTGAGGGCAAATTTTCTAATGCTATCAGCTGGAAGCAAAGCACTCGCACTGGCCCATTCACATTATCAAGAGGCGGAGGCAGAGGGTCGGGAGTTGGAAATTGGTTTGTGGCTCTGTATTGTGGCCATGTCTGGACATTTAGCACTCGCATTGCAGTCCGGCTGCATTACTGTTGGCCAATTCGGGGCACTTTTGCCAGAGTTCTGCTCGACTCGATTATTTATTTACACGAAAAATGTATTTCCCTTGCTCTTAAATTGGGCAATTTATAACGAGGCACTTGACGCCAACAAGCGACCATTTCTAGCGCCAGCGTCACGTGGCAGCTTCAACTTTGCTCAGATTTATGCATGTGTGTGTGTGTGTGAGTATCTGTGTCTGTTTGTGTGTGTGTGTGTGTGTGCAGCTTATGCAGTGCATGTCCGTTGGCTGGACCCCAGCATCAGCTCAACAATTTCAATATTTCATCAAAGACTTCTGCTCTGCCCTTTTGGGGCAGGGGTTAAGTGCAGCAGCGCCAAACTGGCGCTGCAATTATTCTCGTTAAATGTGGAAGGGGTGGGGGGGGGGGCATTCTGAGGGGGGAGGCGGGTACAAAGATGAATGCCAAGTAATGCACATGTTACTATTTACTTTGCGTGTTCTCCAAAAGAAACAAACGACGCCCAGGCCACCCGCCCCCATCCATCAGACATGCCCCCCCCCCTCTCACAAATGACAATAACGACAGCATTGAACGTTGGCGTTGGCGACAGGGCCCAGCCCCAATCGTTGCAATCCTTCCAGCCCCAGCTCTGACCCCCATCTGCGATTGGCTGCCTTTGGTCATATTACTCATACGCACTGCGGGACGGCAGTCAATGCGTCGACTGCACATTCTGGGATTGACTTTGCACTCGCAGTAATGTTACTGCCAAACAGCATGGTCAAGGGGGGTTGCCGGGGGCTGTAGAGGGTGACTTGGCCCAGAAATGAGGTAATCAAACATTGCCAAAGAAGCCAATTGTGTGTGTGTGTGTGTGTGTGAGCTTGTAATTGCCTGTGAATGGCAAAACCAGAAATCAGATATCGAATTGCTACGAAAATATTTGATAGGTAAGCGCAGGAGACAATTTGACTAGTTCGATTCATAAAAGAATCTGGAGAGTGAGAGAGAGGGTGAGAAAGAGAGAGGGGGAAAGGGAGAGAAATGTTAGAAGGTGCTACAAGAAAAATCATTGCCGTGGTAAAAGACTAAAAACAACCAAAAATCTTTGCATTCATTTCCCAACAAAAAAAGTTATTCCACATTTTATAATGTTAACATTCCCCAAGAGACGGATAGCAATTTACGCTATATACGGGTATATATAGAGGTCACGCTTTTGTGAAATAGACAAAGTTTAGGTAAATGTCAAATAATAATTTTCGTTCCAGTTCGAACCGGTTCAATTCAAAACTAGTTCGAAGACCTGTCAAAAACTTCGTTCACATAAAAAAATGTTGGTTTTTTCAATCGGATTAAATTGTTTTAACTTATATTGCTCTTGAAAAAATACATAAATATTCAAATATGCACTTACCCAAAGCTCGTTTCACTGGTTCAATTATTTAATAGCCATGTAGAAGGCAGGTAAATCACACTAAAACAACAAAAAGTAGAGAGCGGAGTTTGGTGAGAACAAAGAGAAAGGAAAATAGACAAGGGAGATGGAGAGTGAAAGAGTAAATTAAAAAATAAAAGTCGGAGAAGCGATAAAGTTTATAAGATTACCCACAAAACTTGTTAGTTTAAAGCTTAGAATCATGAGAATCGCATAGTAAGGTAAACTTGGTCTGCGTTTGTTATAAGTTTTCCGTGCATATTTCACTGGAAGGTGGAAATCGGTGAAACAAGTTTTCATTATTTTATAATGTACAAGCTCTAAAATACTGAGACTTTTGGCCAAAGAGTCTAAGTCTTAAATGTGTCAAACTTTTTTTTGTTAATTTTCAGCACAAAAAGTGAACTAAACTTGGTCTGCGTTTGGTGAAAGTTTTCCGCGCATATTTCACTGGAAGGTGGAAAATTTATAATGTACAAGCTCTAAAATAATGAGACTCTTGCCCATATAGTCTTAGTCTCATGTTGCAACCTGTGGTTAATTTGCCGGAAATAACAATCTTTGAGAAACGTTTTTAGAATCAAAATATATATAATTTCAATAGTTTCCACACATTTTCCGACCATGGAGGTGGATTCAGTCAGATAAGACAAACAGTTCCATGTATAGAGATATCTATGGAATATTTTTTGTCTTTTTTGAAATGTGTAAAAATGTATCAATATGTTTTGACGTGCTTCTTCTTATGCTTCTGGAATGTGCTAAAATTCGGTTGAGGTTTCTTTCGACATACGAAATATGTGTTATCTTAAAACTAAATCGCTTTGAGGTTATTTTTGCGGTTGCCGCTGGTCTATCTTCAGCTCTGCACACAGCCAAAGTATGTTTTTGTTATTGTTGGTGTTTCTTTTCTTTGTTTTTCTTTTTGTTTTCATCATTTTTTCTTTATTTTTTTATTTATTATTATATTACATTTTTTTTTGCTGACTTGTTTGCATTTTTGTTTTTTGCTTTACGGAACTGTTTCTGTTTCAACGTTGCATGCGAATGCTTTGCCGTTGTTGTTGCCGTTGTTGCTGTCTTGTTTTCGTTGTTGTTGTTGATGTTGTTGTTTCTTGTTTTCATTTTTCATGCAGCTCCCGCGTCGTTAAATTTTTGCCTTTTTGGGTCTTGGAAAAAACGCGAGTCCAAAGTCCATAAAACATCACGACGCTGTCAGTTGATGTTGTTGTTGCTGTTGCTGCTGTTTTTGCCGTTATTGTTGTTGTTGTTATTATTGTTTCGGTTGGATTTTTGCTAAAAGTGGCAGAGCCACCACAGCAACGACAACAACAGCAACAAAGACGGCAACGGCAACGGCAACAACAAGAGCAACAAGCCAAGGTGAAGCGCTCGTGTAGCAGCAGTTGCTGGAGCAGCGGGCGGACAGACAGAGCGGCAAGAACGTGCAAGAATAACAACAACAGCAATCAAAACAACAACAACAAGAACACCAGCAAAACAAAATAAAAATGAGTTAAGAGAAACGGACGTTTATATTGCCAGCTACAGCTGCTGCAGCTGCTATTGCTGCTTTTGCTGTTGTTGTAGCTTCTGTTGATGTTGTTGTGGCTGCTGCTGTTAACGCTTCTGTTAATGTTCTTGTTGCTATTGCTCTTATTGCTGCTGCTATTGTCCCTGCTGTTGCTGCTCCCACTTCTGCTGTTATTTCTGTTATTGCTGCTGTGGCTGTTCCTGTTGTTGTTGCTGCTGCTGTTAAGTCTTCTGCTGCGGTTGTTATTGATGTTGCTGCTGCTGCTGCTGTTAACGTTGCAGTTAATGTTGTTATTCCTACTGTTGCTGCTTCTGCTGCTGCTGTTATTTATGTTATTGCTGCTGTTGTTGCTGTTGCCGTTAACTTTGCTGTTAATATTGTTGTTGTTCCTGCTGGTTTTTCTGTTATTGTTGCTGTTGTCTTTTTTCGCTGCTCTTCAGCTTCCTTCACATGTGCAAGCTCCACTTCCCCCGCGCAGCAATTCTGTCGCCCAACTCACGTGCGTCTCACTCTGCAGCAACATCTTTCACACACTAAACCGTACCCAGCTGTACCGAACCGGCCACCATTGAGAGTCAACGCTGCAGACAAGTGCAATTGCTGAGCGATGCTTTAGCCAAGAGCCTGCAGCTCTTCCCAGTCTCTGTCCCAGTCTCAGTCCCAGTGCCAGTTCCCAGCTTCACAGTTTCTCATCTTGCAGCTACAGTCTGGAGCCCCATTGACGCTGACCCCACGGCATTGCCATGGCCTTTCGCTGTGTAGTTGTTTTTACTTGAGTTGTTGTTGTTGTTGTTGCGTCTCGTAAAACTGCGCAAAAATTTAAAAAGGCCGCCGCCAATTTGGTGGAATGTGAATGTTTTTGACTGTCTTTTGGAGGAGTACTCGTAGTCGCATTCGCATTCGCACTCATGCCAACAACCGGCATATTTGTATACCCTGTATGGCAAACAAAAGAGGCAAAAATAAGGTGTATCCGACGGTCAGCTTTCCGATCAGCATATTATCTTTAATGTTCGCAACAATCTATAACATTTGTTTGGGCATAACTATCGTATATAAAAAATAATTTCTCTTAACAGCCAAAATACAGGGTATATTTATGTTAAATACTTTTGTGTTGCTTTGATAGACTTTATGGGCAAACTATAAAACTCTGCTACGCTTGAGCAGTATGTTAAGTGCAGTCTCCAAAGATTGTATCTGAATAATCATCGTAAAATACTTTTAAAACACATAAATAAGGCGGACTGGTTTTTAATGTTGACCCGTTAGAGGTTTGCAAATGCAGAAGGAGATCATGGTTAGCATACACATACTGAAATTTATAAGAAACTTAAGACACTCAAATTATTAGTTTCTGAATGATCTTTTAACGTATTCATATATCATCTCAGGATCAGACGTTGAAATCTCCAAGCTCCCAAACTATCGGTAATCTATTTTCTATTGTTATTTTCTAGGTCGCAATTTGAACAATATCTATTAATAATATATTTAAAGCATTATATATTATTAGAGTATTACACTTTAATCCTGACATCCCAGACCATCAACATTATATAATCGAAATATACCTTTGTAGTATTTTTGGTATCCAATTTTCGAACATTATAATGCGCATGATTATTTACTGATGTAAAGATCTTGTTTCCAATTCTCGCTTTAAAATATCCGTATCTAGATATTTTATCTATTTGCCTAGATCTTTCATAATACAGTATTATAGTCAAAATGATCATCTACATTCTTTTACTTCAAACAAGACTTTCAAAAGCGAATAGTTTAAGGTGTAGCTCATCATTATGCTGCCACTTTCGTAGCTGAAAATTGCAGGTATATTTACTATCTCTGTTGAGATCAGACTTTTAAATAGCATTGCTCTGTGAATATCTTTCACCTGTTTTGTGTGTTCTCTGTGAATCATTGCCGCCCATTTTGGTGCGCTAAGAAACTACTTAAAGTGGCAATTGGCAACACACAAGGCGGAACAGTTGTAGGTTGCTTATAATTAGAATAATTTAATGGTATTCCACATACATATTGGACTGACCCAGTCGACAGTTGCCCAGCCAGTTCCGTCTCCAAGCGTTGGCGTTGCCGTTGCGCATGCGTCACTCGCCTACTTTCCAGCAGCAACAACAACAACAGCAACAACAGCAGCAACAACAACAATTGGCGAGTCGCAGTCAAAGTCGAATTGGAATTGGGAGAGTCGGCGCTGGAAGGCATGGACTCGGGGCTCCAACGTTGGCGGCAGTGTCATCCCAAGAAACGGAAATTCAATTTCCGTCACGTTCAAAGCAAAAATTCACTTCCTCGCCCATGCAGACGCACTGAGCCCCCCCCCCCCCCTCCCCCCGCGCTACCCTCTGATCCCCCAACGAAACATGGAGGCGATGGCAGGCAACATTTCGTTTTCGTTGCCATTAAAAGCCAGCCAAAGAGCCAGTCAGCCAACTTCATGATGAGCTTTGGCATTATCGTCATTATTAACGCCATCAACGTTGTTGTTGTTGTTGTTGTTGTTGCTGCTGTCGTCGTTGTTGTTGTTGTTGTTGTTGTTGTTGTTGTCGTCTTTGTTATCGTCACCCACTCAACGTCAGCGCCTCAGCCAAGTGACCAACTTAATTAAGCTTGAAAGGGAAATGTTTCCTCCTACACGATTGCGCTCTACAACAAAGGAGGCAACAACAGCAACAGCGACAAGAACAGCAGCAGCAACAACAACAACAGCAGCAGCGACAGCAACATTAACAATAACAACAAGTCAGAGTGCTTTAGTGGGGAGTGCGCGACCAGAAAATACCCTCAACCACAAGTCAAGCTGAACTTAGAAACATTTTAGCTTTCTCTTACATTTTTTGACAATACAATACAAGCACAAGAGCACACACAAACCCTAATACGGATGCAACTGTGCTTCTTCTTCCTTTTGCTTAACACCATATATGGGTTATGTATTCTTGAGTAACTTGGGTATTATAAGTGCGATTTTTATAAAATTTTCAGAGCTTAATTATGGTGTACAAAAATGTGTATATCCTAAAGAACAAGGGTCTACCCTTTAAAAGATAACTTTATTCCTTGTTTAGGGACAATAGAGAGAAGTTTCCAAAAGTGAATCATTCTTAATCTAATATGCTATACGAGAATCTGTATACCAAGTGTGGTGCCCCTTTCTGTTATAATATTCGATCTTAAATCATGTCTCAAACTTAATATATATTTTAATTTATATTTATAAAATATTTTGAAATGAAAATGGAAAGAGGTATCAATAAAATACCAACTCCTGTTGCGTATGATATACAACAAAATATATTATAAATATAAATTTTCGCTAGCTTCTACTTCACTCAGAGGTAGACACGGGCATGTCAGTTCTTCGTTCAGCTCAGGAATAAATACACTTGACGAGTTCAGAGATATTCCCTTCTGCGACATATATTTGCACAAAAACAATATACCCTTTAAATCAATATCCAATGGGTTCAGGGCTTAACAA